TAGTTGTGACTGCTCTATGACTAATGTGTAAGCTTCTAGATCTTCCTGTTATGGATTTGTGTCTGTTTGATTAGACCTCGATACAGGAACGAATGAGTATTCTCTTAAATTGTTTGAAAGTGCAATTATATTTTACTATAGTATGCTTTATATATAATTTTTTAATTTGTATCTAATATTCACACTAGTTATATATATATATATATATATATAATAATAATAATAATAATAAGCGATTTTATCTAAACGCTAATCTGAAGTTTTTGAATTATCTCACAAGCTTAATTGATTGTGTGTCAATCAAATCGGCAAAAGTTCTTATGTTGTTACCTTTTTAGCACTTGGAAAAGCAATAACCGAAATTTAGATTATCCTAATTTTGAGTACTGCAACATGTCTTATATCATTTTTATCTTTTTTAGCTTCGATCCATCCTCTTTCTCGTCTTCGTGCCCCATTGACCGTATCATTACCTCAACCACACAAGCATCTGGATTTACTAGCTCTTTGTTGCGTGCTGATGAAATCGCTTGGGCTATTATACAACGACAACGCGAATTACGTTCTGTATGCGCCACGAACCATAGTACATTGCGTAGGTTAGTACAAGCTGCCAAGCGAGACATGCAGCGTCAGGAGATTCAGCGCCGTCTCGCTGTGGCTGATGCTGACGTAAGTGTTTGATTTAACAGACTTATTACCTCGCAGAATTAGTTCCCCAAAAAGTTTGAGAGTGGAATGCAATTTCTGTTGTCGCGAAGTACTATTAGTCTGGGTTACTCGGTTCGAGTAAAATCCTTGTCTTTTTCACTTACTATTAGGGGTTGCAAAAGACTAGAATATTTTAGTTTGCTATTGGACTTCCACTTTAATTGCCTTATTCATTTATAGTCATTTGGTCAGACATGTTTGGAATGTCGACATTTTTCATGAAATTTGCTTTAAATTTTCCATCACCAATTTCTATACATTCATACCAAGTGAGGCTTACGCTGTAATTCCCGAATAAAATTTATTTTAAGTATCTCATTTAGTATGGCTGAACAGTCATAATCTCTAATACGTACATATAGACAAGCGAACCTGTTTGCTATTAAACTCCTTTATTTCATAGTATCCCATTTTAAGATTGAAGGAATAAAACTGACTGGTTAATTATATTTTATTTATTCACAATATGCTTCACGACTTGCTTTTGATGCAGAATTCTAATCTGCAATATTTACTTTCTGTTTTTCATTGATCCTCGCCTTCCCTTGTATCCGATAATGCTGTGAACATATGATGTCGGTTTTATCTAATTACTATCACATTATATTTTCGTATTTATGAGGAAGTCGGCTCTCTAATCTCATGAGATTTAATACCTCAATCAAACGGCAAACTGAACTTTTATTTACTACTTTCTATTTAATTGTGGGCTAGTTGGTTATCATTCATTGCTTACTATTTTTTAAAGTTTTTTGATATACTATATTTGTACGTTTGCGTTAATATTTTATCATTTTAAGGATTATTTTTGTAATTTTGTTTTCTTTCTTGAATTTTAACTCTACGCAAACATGTCTAAGACATTCTTTCTTAGATTTTGACGGAAATAATTCGTTTTTACAACTTTATATTTCATCCGTGGCTTTCTCTTTCTTCTCTTTAAGGTTATTGAGGCCTACAACAAACTTGAAAATTATCGGGCTCAACGAAAGACTCCATTGAAGCGTGATAGAGATGCTGCTTGGAAAACACTGAAAGAACGCAAAAAAATTCTGAAGGAGCTCGAGGTTTTTGATACGAAGTCACCGTAACTAGTAAGAAGTCTCAAATTCCTACTCCAAGTAATAATTACTTCGAACTCTTTGGAGTTGGCATCGTAGAGCGTTTTGATGATTCATAGGATTTAGGATCTTGCAAGTCGTACTGCTCCTTTACTTTCCCCGTTATCTTGTATCAGGCACTTTTTATAAAATCACAAATTCCTTTATGGTACTATGTGTTGTGCTCAATATTTTATATTCTCAAATTGTATTTACCGCTATACTTAATCTCTTGAGATCAATTGCCACTTCTGTACATAAATCTAACTTATACCCCTATGCTGTTTTTTGGCTTTGAGGATTCATCTAAGCTCAAGTCGTGGCCTTTCCAGCCGGCCATGTATTGTACTTTACGTTTCACGCTTCCCTATTTCTATCCGCACCTATCAGGGAATTCATTTGCGTCTTCTGCTCACACTCATGACAATCTCAGCTACGACTTTAGGCTCTTTTGCATTTACATTTTCAATGTCACCGGAAATTTCCTAGTCCACTGCCTTGGCTTATCATTCTTAGTCCGCCTATTTTGCTATATACGAGGGGCTTTTATCGTAGCTTCCGATACAGCTCATGTCAGCTTTTTGGACAATAAGATTCGATCCTCTATCTTGAACCTTTATTTTTCTGTTTCTATTGTATAATTAAGTCAAAAATTAACTCGGCGTTTCACTGTGAAAGTGGCTTCGTTTATATGACTTCTTTTGTTTCAACCATACACAGATCTTTGTGTCCGAACCTGGAGATAACCATTTGGCGATTCTTATGCCATTGTCTGATATGACCTTTCAACCTTTTCCTGTATACATGTCGTGTATTTCAATCCTTCCTTTTTCTATCCATCATTGTCTATTTTCAAAACATCGATTGAGCTCGATATTCTAGGGTATAATAAAGTACCTGAATATATATACATTTTATTGCTTTACCTCTCATCGTATTTTTACGTTTTAGCTTTCCTTCCCATAGATCAGATGGTTCTGATTGTTAGTTATGTTGCTCTCCTTTACTATTATCTAAACTTATCAAAACTATATCGTTAATCGTTATATTGGTAAAAACGTCGCTACAAGGACCTTTCCGGGATTAGAAACCTTGCTACATCGTTTGTATCTTGGGTCGAAAGTTTTTTGCGAAATCTGCTTCATGTAAAAAGCTTATCAAAAATTTGATGTTAACTTTTACAGGAAAAACCTTTCAAGACGAAATGAGTAATCTTAACTCAGCAATAGACGAACACTGGCTCTCCTTGATCTACTATTGTTTGTCCTTTCTGGGGTTTCGGGTTGACATAGCCGCCGATACAATCACCTTTTACGGCGAAAGAGTGCTTAGCTTTTACTTATCATATAATGTAAATCACTATTGCAAAAACACATCCTAAGGTCAATCTCGAATTTTTAGCCTTGCTTTAAGCTCAAGATTGTCCTCGGATTGCTTCCTTGCTTTGCTATCTGCTATATGACGAATACGATCTCAACACTACCTGTTGCAGAATTCTGATGAGGCCGACCAACTAATCGCCTTAGAAATCAATTTTAGTCGAAATCAAAATAATAATAGAATGTCTGATATTTTCTTAAAAACCAGTTAAACTGTATCTTTAAGTTGTACCTAGTTCATTTAACTATCCAGTTGCAGTACTGGATCTATCATTAGATCATGCTACCCTTGCCATTTTGCATCAGTAAGCTTTCCATACAGGAATACAAATACACCACTAATTCTCCTGTATCAATATTAGATTTTCTCATGATATACTTCTCTTAAATGAATTTCGGATCAAATTAATTTATTTAAAAATATACCTCTTTAATGTCATACTTTTGGCATAGATTTTCTACTTCTTCAATATGAATACATCCTGAAATGAATTTTAAAAAACGCCTATCAGCTCTTATGTGCTCATATACAACTATTCCAAGGGAGGAATTTTGTCCTGGTGGCTAGATTCATTGTAGTAAACCAGACTCCACTATTGCATTTAGTGTGCTATCATTTCATATTTGTTTATATGGCATCAATTTTTTTATGAATTAAAATTATATTCTAGATCGATATCTGATTGGCCGAGGAGTACTCCACTTGCTCCCATACACATACTTTTACTATTACTATTGCGATTTCTGAATATGAATTAATTGAATCTGCGGCTATTTTTCAGATATCAAGAGCAGCTTAGTTTCGAAGGTTCTCTATTGGCGTGTCTTTTACTTCGTTTGAAAGGGTAAATAAAATAGATTCGTAAATTGCCATAATAGAAAATGAAGGATGGAGAATCTCAGAGTTGTTACTGCTGGGTTGTGTGAAGAAGATCCTGGCTTACTGTCATGCGACCTCGATGAATCTGTTTTGATATTTTGTTTTGATATTTGTCTGTAAGCAGACATTGTAAAAACTAAAAATCAGCATTTTTGTATAAATTCATAGAGACGAAAGTTGGTCAGCTTATGTCTAATTTTCATATCCTAATGAACTATCCTATACTTTAGTTTATTCATTCATGCTTATCCCAGATGCTTGTGGATGAGTTTTTACTTAAATAAATCCCCGTTTGACTCTGAAATGTTTACGCCTATTATAGGTCTGTGGATTCAATGTTCATGCATCAATTGAAATAGTACAGCACTAATTTGAATTCGGGTTAGTTAAGCCTTCTTTCATTATGTGCCTTGTCCTCCTGATTTTTCGTCTTCCAAATTATCTCTAGATTCCAGAGCTTATTATTGCCTAATTTTCTACACTCCTTCCCTTATTTGGGATGCTGTTTGCTTGCTTACTTTCTATAGACTCCCCAATTTCCCACTCAATCTGCTAAAATGTGTGTTTTAGACCAGTTTATCCGGCTTCCTGCATTGACAATATTTTCAGTCAGCTCTGACTTCTTACCAATATACCTTGCCAGTCGTTTTTTTAGATAACCTCTTCTATATAGGTCGATAAAAATCCCTCACATAGACTGTCTCATAAACACAAAATCTTATAACAACCTGATTTGTAAAGGCGGTCCGAAGATTATATTTAAGGAGTTATGATCAAGAAAAGTATAATTCTCTATACACATTAATCTGACGCTCCATTTCTTCAGTAGCTCGCCTATCTTTTTCCAAATTTGGCACTATGGTAGCATCAGAAATCTTGGTGAAGAGTTGTCCAGTTGCCTTTTTTTCCCTTCATTCTATCGTGAAATAATTCGCAGTTACTTCTAATAGATAGACAATATGGGCTAAAATTTCCTTTATCTTACTTGCTCTTGCTTGCGGTGATTTATTTATTCTAGGCACACATTTCTTACTTTCATTAATTTCATATCAATGATGGGAAAAACCTTTAAACCTTTATTATTTCTATGATCCTTTGCCAGCCAATTGGTAAAAATCTTGAGCTATGCCGATACCTCGGTGTAGTTCCCACTATTCTGCTAAGAATACTTAATGCCCTTAGATACTTCTTTTACCGTAGGAGTGTGAGGTGATGTCTTAGACAGATTTATTATTATCTGTCCTACTATATTGCCAGTACCTTTTCTCCTTTTTCATACATTTTATTGTTCTGAAATTTTTAAGTGTTATCATTTTCATTTTTATACTTTTACAATACAATATTATTTAATATATGAAGACCAAGATGTTGTGGCCTCTGTCTGTTAAGAGTGTCTAAGTGTTTGCCTCATTGAATTCTTAATCCTAATCAAGCAACATAATTCTCTCATAGAGATTAAGACCAAGATGGTGTAGCCTCCTGATTTTTTGCAGTCTCATTTAGCCTTATAGTGTTGGTTCGACCTTGTTTTCGCAACTTGGTCGGAGCTTTAGGGGGACCTTGTGGAACTTATATAGTCCCGTGTCCTCTGCAATAATGTTCGCGATTCCCTTCATCGGACCATAACTTGCAACATTCCCAAAAATTTCGCCGGTATCGTAGTCGGCATCTTCAGTGAGAGGCTTCATCGTTATAAAAGTGACAAGTGAAAGCA